GGGGAGGTTGGAGGGGTGAGAGGAGAAATAATTAATGTGCGACCATTCCTCTCTCTCTTCCCGTACCCCCGCCTCGCTCGCGCGTCCCATTCCCCCTTCCTCCTCCTCCTCGACCGACCTACCTACTCTACCTACGGATCTTGCACCGCGCTACGCTTAAGCTACCATTGTGTCGGGACGCCACTTCCGAGGCGTTCAAATTGAAATCATCAATCGCGCAGGAGAGGAGGCCTCCTCGGAGGATTCGGGAAGAAGCGGCCACGCGGAGCGACCGCGATAGTGCGATACGCCGGGTACGCGGGAAAGAGGGGGGAGGTGTACGGGATCGTCGCGGATGGACGTCGTCGCTCTTTCAATCGACGGCATCCTCGTCGCGAGGCTCGCGTGTCTTTTCTTTTCTTTTCTTTTCCTTTTTTTTTTTCTGCGTCCGATCGTCCTTAAATTCGCAGAAGTTAGGTTAGGACAGTTACTTCCGCAGATATCGGCGATCGTCCTCCCTCCTCTCTCTCTCTCTCTCTCTCTCTCTTTTTCCCCCTCCCTTCCCCACCTTCTTCCTCGCGTCTCTCACGCTAGTGGCGTCGTCTCCCCGTCACGGATGCGTTCTTCGGGTATCGCGCGTCTCGTATACGGGATTCCATCGCGCCGCCGCTTAATAAGCGTGGCGTTTGCGAGCCTCTCGTCGCGCGATTAATTCGCGGATTCACCCCGCGAGTGGCAAGAGCGCGTACGCGAGACGTAAATTCGATAAACTCGGTCGTACGCGAGCCGAGTACTCGTCGCCGAAACGAACGGATGAGCACGCGGGCATGTTAACCGAGGTGGCCTTAGCACGCGCTTTCGAAAACGGAAACATCCGCGGATGAATCCCCCCGCGCCTGTTTCTCTCTCTCTTCTCTCTCTCTCTCTCTCTCTCTCTCTCTCTTTCTCTTTTTCCCCCTCCCTTCCCCACCTTCCTCGCGTCTCTCACGCTAGTGGCGTCGTCTCCCCGTCACGGATGCGTTCTTCGGGTATCGCGCGTCTCGTATACGGGATTCCATCGCGCCGCCGCTTAATAAGCGTGGCGTTTGCGAGCCTCTCGTCGCGCGATTAATTCGCGGATTCACCCCGCGAGTGGCAAGAGCGCGTACGCGAGACGTAAATTCGATAAACTCGGTCGTACGCGAGCCGAGTACTCGTCGCCGAAACGAACGGATGAGCACGCGGGCATGTTAACCGAGGTGGCCTTAGCACGCGCTTTCGAAAACGGAAACATCCGCGGATGAATCCCCCCGCGCCTGTTGATCGACCTTTTAACGCGTGCCTCGTAATTACAGAGTGACCCCACGGTCGGGAAGAACGGAGGCCATGGATGTGGACGGAGATTCGGTGGTGGATTTAAGTATCAGGTAATGTTATGTATATTAATCGCAATCAGGTTTACCATGTGTTTATCGTATATTTCTATCTCTTTTTTTTACGTACGATTTAACACACACGAAATATATGTAACTTGCATAAAATTATATTCCGCGACATGCGATCTCACTGTTCAAATTGTATAGTTTTCTAGAGCTCAAAGTGTAGAACAATATATAATGGTAATTAATACCGTTTTTTATCCAAGTTTCTTATCAGTATCAAGCTATTATCGGTGCTTGTGATGGATGAAGAAGCAGGTTGTTGTTACTCTTTACGAGTATACTTTTGAAACAATAACGCTTTGTATAAGACTTGTTTATGTCATACGACATGAGAAATATATTATACAGATATTAATTCTCTGTACCTGTGTGTTTTTCAGCAGTAGTGGCAGGCGCAATTCCCCGTCCCTTTCAGTAAATTCTGGAGATATCCCATTAGATCTGGGGATTCATCTTCATGGCTCTCCTAGTCCTCCGGAGAACGATATATTAGAGGCTCGTAATATACAAAATGCCACACGGGGTATTTTGGCTCCTAAACGATCGCATGGGGACGAACGCAAGCCACGTCGTAATCTTAGACCTAGGATCGAGAGGAGCTATGCTGAAAGTCCCGATGAACCTAGAATGAATGGATATTTAAATGGAAATGCATCGGACAGCGATGAAGGTTGTCCTCGAATCTCATTTTAGTTTTAAAAAATAAAGAGTAATTTATGGAGAAGTTTATTTTAATTATTATCCTGAATTATACACAGGTGAGATGCCTCCATTGCTGCCAAGTGTTGAGGAAATGCAAAGAAGAACTCAAAACGGAAGAGATGAAATTGGTACTTCTAAAGAAATTACGTCAATCGCAACAACTCAAGGAGAATATTGCGGCAGTGCCAAAGATTCCCAGCAAATTCCCACCGCCAGTATCAGTGCAGCAAGTGCCCCATAGGTAAAGCTTTGCCATGATGTTGTTTTCCAAAATGTCTTTCTGACATATTATCCCATTAAATCTTGATGCAAATGCTTTTTCTTTGTTTTATATCACAGCGTGAGGAAAGCTCCGCCACCCTTGCTCAGAGGTCAACCTGCACCAAGCAGAAGTAGCAGTTTACACGCTCCGCCACCTGGCATGGTACTTCCTCCTACAGCTGGTCGAAATGCCATTCCGCCTCCAAATATGGTGATACCGCAACCTCCTCATCCTAGAGTGAGACCACCCTCTAATGTAGCAGCTGCGACTGTGTCGAGTTATCATGCACCGACGGATAGAACAGAGAGGTCCACGAAAGATCCAACACCTGCCCCTGCGCATCAAGTAAGTAAGGTAACAAATCACATTTTATTATTCTTCTTATAAGTCTTAAATATAACTTTAATTTATACAAGGGAATAAAACAAGTTAGAAGTCGTTAAATCATCTTTTATCGAGTATAATTTTAAGAAAACATCTTACTAATACTTTCACTGCTAATACATCACTGATAATTATGAGCGATTGTTATTCTGATCGGCCGTGAAAGTGTTAAATAATTTTCTCTAATTAAACGATATTATATATAATTCATTATTGTGTTTTTCTAAACACAAAGCTGCTTGCTGGATCGCAAGAAAATAAAACTACCGCATCTTTAAGCACACCTGTGAATTCAGAACAGGTATATTCATTCGTCGATAAATGTGTAACGTCTTTCCATCTGTTGTGTTGTTCTTTAAGAGCTATTGATTTTTTTTCCACGTTAATTATTTATATGCATTATGGCGTTTTAATTAAGCATTATTTTTGCTTATGCTTTTCGTTTCTAACAGCTCTTGTTGTAACAGCAAAGCTATATATAAAAAAGCAATATATTATCTATAGTTTTTATCATAATACATAATATAACACGCAATACAGCTGAAACTTTATAACTAACACAATGCCCTATTTTCTTAGTATATCTACATTACAATATGAAAAAATATTATTTATAAAAGAAAAATTAAATTATAATTGCATGCAGTTATTGAATATTTTGGTAAATATAGATATATACTATATAACACACAGCTCCTATTTTATATAGATGCTTATATATATAAATAAATACTGAAAATTTATCAGATAATATATTTTTTAGTTCGAATTATTTAAATACAACTCTTATTTTATATGTTTGTATAATATTTCTTTCATTTGTTTATTTTTTGTGCTGCTATTAGGAGGTTAGCTGTATACGGTAAAAAGTTTATTTATCAAATAAAATGTATTTTATATTTTTTCGTTAACTTAGGAGAGAACAACACGGGACGAGACACCTGCTCAACGTCAAGCAGCTGCCAAGATGGCCTTAAGAAAGCAGCTCGAGAAAACATTGCTACAAATACCGCCACCGAAGCCACCGCCCCCGGAGATGCACTTTGTACCAAATCCCTCCAATACGGAATTCATATACTTGGTTGGTTTGGAACATGTAGTCGACTTTATAACGAAGGAACCGGCCATACCACCACCTCCCGAACCGTTCGAGTGCTCGCAATGTAAAACAGATTTCACACCCGTGTGGAAATGGGAGAAACCTATGCCCGGTGGCAAGAAAGACAGTCCTAGAGGGCAACATGCAACCTTCCAACGGCCCTCAGCGGGGCGCGATCCGAGGGTTATATGTGAACATTGTGTGACCACCAACGTGAAGAAAGCATTGAAAGCAGAGCACACTAATCGGTATGTTTTTACGTAACAATACATATTAATAGTATAAAATTGATACTCTTTTTTTCTCTAATTATTACTTTTTTAATAACTTTAACTTTAACTTTTGATGAATTGTGATAGCTGAATTGATTATTATGTGTGTAGAAGACTCGACAAAAATTTTATTCGATTATATAGATAGATAATAATTGAAAATTAAATACGCCGAATAATAAAATATGAAAAGAACGATGCTATTATTATGTCTCGCTTGTAATGAATGCAATTTTGTAATGGTTTTACAGATTAAAAACTGCTTTTGTGAAAGCGCTACAACAAGAGCAAGAAATAGAGCAAAGATTAGCGCAGGCGGCATGTCCGAGTCCAGATCCTCCGGCTCCGAAACCAGTTCCTAAGGCAGCTACTCCTACGAGAAGAGTAGCCACGCCGCCTGCACCGCCGCCGCAGGTACCACCGGCGCCCACGTTAGCGCCGACACCTCCAGCGCCAAAGTTACAAGAACATCCCCTGGTGAAACTGGCCGAGAGCGGGAAATTTAGTCCGCATCATGCAGCTGCCGCGGCAGCCTTGCAACAACAATTGCTCAGAGGTAGGAGCAAAGAATTTTTTACATAGTAAAATTATCAAATTCTAATTTTATACGATAAAATAATTATTTGCGTAAAGTTTTTCGCACGATGACGTATATTATAGTTACAATCCGCGAGAATTGATCTCTTCACGTGATGGTTAATGTTACAGAATTGGCAAAGAATCCAGTGCCGGCTATGTCGCCGCATCAACCGCTTCCCGCTCACATGATGCCGCATTTTACCTCTATTTTGTACCCCTATCAATTAGCAATGGCGCAAGCTGCGGGCGGTAAAGGTCTCGTAGAGTTACAACGACAGGCGGCGGATCTCCAACGCCAGTATCTGCTCGATATGATTCCGTCGCAAGCGTCCCAAGCGCAAGGCAATCAAGCACCGCCAAGAGCTCATCCGCACAACTGGAAAACGTAACCGGACGCATCTAAGGGATGATGTAACAGTAAATGCAAATAAATAAAACATTAATGAACGCGTGTGTAATGAAAGACTAAGGTGAAAACTAAGAGAGATCCAGTAAAGTGCGCGATTGGCCATAAATCCGTGCGCCTGGAATGGTTATGCTGTGTACCAATCGCAGCGCTAATGTCTCGGTTAAGGTGAAGCTCAACTTGATACATTGAAGGAATAAGAGACGTTCGTTAGTATTGTATAAAGAATAATAACCGTTGTGAATATGTCAATTGACGTGTAAGTTTATTGTTATTCTTCCTTAAGGGTTAAGGTTTTATTTCCGTCATCGAAACACACACGTAACGTACGTGCGAATTCGGAATCGTGGCGACGTCGTTATTTAGTGCAGACCAACACTAGAACTTTCCACGATCGAGATTGTCGTTTCACTTTCTTGTTTTTCTCTGATTTTTTCTTGAGGCATATGCATACGTTATTAGTTTTCGTTAACGTTGTTTAATTGAACAACAAATAAATATAATAATTGATTTAAACATGTCGACAAGCATATTATACGATATATTGAATGCGATTGCTTGGATTATAAACAACATGGATTTGCCTGACTAGGCGCTTCGCGCGAGCGCCATCCCTCGCTTGCGCTCGATCATATTGCACTACTTCCATTTTTTTTATCCGCGCTCTTTCTCTTGCATTATTTATAAAAACAGATTTTATAAAAAATGCAAGAAAAATTATTATTGTTAAAGTAATATTCTTTACCTGTGCATTTTAAACTATTACATCTCTCACGTTTTACGCATTTCTTCTCTATTCCGTCATCTTTATTACTTGTACGAAATAAGTGACACGTGATATGGAAAGCTGCAAAGTGCTCGTTCGCTCGCGTGACGTCATAAGTTAGACAGCTCTTTGTTATATACAATATAATATAAAGAACCAAATAGATACTTGCAAGGCACTAAATAAACCGATGATAAGTGTAAAACGAATCGGATGGTTAAGAATAAATAGGGATAATTGCGGAAGTACGGAGAGTGTAACATGAGATGACGGTAAACTGATGGAAAGAATCTTTTTAGGCCCTTAGATAGTTAAGACGATTTTTTTGCCGCTGGTTTCAACGAGCTTTTACGAGCCACCGGCAGTACCTGTACTATGTGTATATCTTATTATTTTCTTCAAATTGTATTTTTAAGGCGAGTTTAACGCAAAATAAGGCTGTAGCTATACACGAGAAAACGAAAAAAAAAAAAAAAGGTTTTTGTAAGAAAGCGCATGTGAACAAGCCGGCATATGTGAAATGTATAGCAATTTTTCTCTCTCCTCTCACGATACATATGGCAGAATATGTATCATCGAATTTCTAACGGAAAATGACACGAGTGTCATTCGCGCACAAACACGATTTTTTTTTTTTTTTTTATGGACGTTAAAATCGAATGTTAAAAGTTGGATCCGTGTCCCAGTATGCGCGAGGCGTAACGCGATTTAACTTGGACTATTTTTAGACGTTGAAAACGAGACTCGCGGACGAATAAAGTATAAAGAAAGATAATTCTCGAGTTGAACGGTGCGCGATTGATTTCATGTCACACATTCGGTGTAAAGATATTTAAAGAGGATTAGAGGAGAGATTTTAATGAGTAAACAAAGTTTTTTTTCTTTCTTTTTTTTTTTACGAATTGTTACAACACGGCGACCGCCGGATTTTTATGACGTCCTATACTCAAGTCTGCACTTGAAACGAGTTAAAAGTATATCCGGCACACTCTTGTCCCAATAATAACAATTAATTACCAGTCTCCCTTTCCCTTTCCTCTACCACTAATAGTCTGATTTTATTGATTCTGAACTAACCGATCTTGGTCATACACATTTCCGAATCAATTAAATATATAGTACTATAGTCTTGATATTTCTTGGGATATATGATACACAACTTAATAAACTAAAATAGCGCATAATCATCTCTCTTTGTACTAACGTGATAGATTTTGAACTCGTACTTGATATACATGTACACCATAATAAGTCTACGATCGCATAATAGATCAAGATCTGTGTTTTTTGTGTAAGAGAAAACGTAATAATATGTCGTCAACTATTATGTATCGTCATCGGGGCACTACCGTCGTCGTCGTTGTCGTCGTTATTCTAAGGTGAAATCCGGGAGCGAAATAAAAATATGACACATGAATAAAAAAGGAGGGAAGCTTGAATGTACTTCCCTGAGTAATATTTTATATAATTTTGACAATTGAATAATTTATTTGAAAACCGTCTTAAGTAGAAAAGAAAAAATTTAAAGACAAATTATATATGTCTATTTAGGGGGAGAGGAAGTATTCTAGCAAAATTTTCACAATTTAATTTTATGCTCTAATCCTTGAATTCTTTTTATACTACTTTTAAAGAAAATAGAAGTTGTTTTCATAAAAATATATGTTGGTGTATGCAGTTTTTAATTAATTCTATCGCTGGATCGAGATTGGTTGTTTTTAAAATTATTTGCAATCTTTCAAATCTCTTAAGGTTTAATTTCTTTTTGAACTTGACCAATGTTTGACAAGATGTGTATTCTCACGAATAACAAATACTGATTTTATATATATTGGCGAATATATAAAAATTGTAAAATACGTGTTGATACACATTTTCTGTGAAAATATGTATTTGCAATGTTATAACATGTAAAATATACATTTACAAATACATATATGAAATCGTTATTTATTATTTGCTGATACATCCGCTCTATTGCTTTTATTTCTTTTTTTATGAAGTATATATGTATTCTAAAATTTGAGATAACAATTTCGCGTAAAATCATTGTCAAATCATTAATCACAATTTAATTTATTCAAAATTCATGAATATTATAAAAATGACTATTTTTGGAAAATAGCAATTTTTAAATTCAAAAATTTAATATTAAGTTTTTGTGAAATTTTCAGTAAGGTTTTCTCTTAAGACGGTTTGAAAATAAGCTCTTCAATTCCATAATTGCTTACGATATATCTTGGGTGAAATATTCAATATTGCGTTAAATTTGAATTTAAATCTGTTCTCCGATATATGTATAACATGGAGATTACGAGCTTTCTCTATAAAATTCTCTCTAACGACGCGAAGATGTGCCTGATGTGTGGCTCTTGAAATTACGCTGTTTTGATGGAAAACAGAATCATTGTCATCAAATCATCATCATCATCTTATTCGGCAATCAGAAATCGCGTCTCGTTTCGTTAACAAAAATATATATATATATATA